AAGACTAACAAAGCATGTAGATGCTATCAGGGGCTTTCGTGGGCACAACCCACTTCTTCAGTCAAGTTAAGGATCTGGTCCACCAGGTCTTCAGCGAAGGATGTGCGTATGCTAGTCTAAGTAGTTCTTTTATTACAGAAATGTTACACAAGAAGTCATAGAATTGTATTACTGTATTATAATCCTAAGTTTCATATGATTTATTTTTCTTTCATTTATTTTAATAAATGTTTTAACGACATGGTATTGTTCTCAATATAAGTGTCTTTGTCACACATCCCAAGAGTCCTTTTCTGAGAGAGAACTCTCTCTCACACTCTGGTTAGATGCAACCAGTGGCAAGTCATAAGGCCTTAGCTGTAAATTCAGGTCAACACAGGGAAAGAAAAAAAACCTACCTCCATTATAACCTCAGCGCAGAAATGTCAAATATTCTCTCTAATGCCATCAAACTGATAGCATGAATTTCCTTCCCCAGCATGCCACTTTCCTGTCACATAGATTCCACCAACAAAATAGACAACAAGCTGAAGTCACCAAGTTGAATGCTTACACTCACCAGCTCATGGAAAGGAGAACAGTACATATATACTAGCAGAAATGCCACAACTAAATTATTAAAATGCTTTTAATATACTATCAAGCACTTTTCATTTTGTAGGTTGGTATGTTTTTGAATTTTGATACATTAAGAATAGAGTGAAAGAATAAGAAAAGGATTTGGTCAAAGTAATATCTAGCATTTTCTCTTAACAGTGCAAACTCACCCATGACTAGTAGAGAGCAAAATCACCAATGGGACCCTAAAGCCACTCTCTTCTACAAAACTTTCAGCCCTTTAGGCACTAAAGTAAACTGTACAGAGTGGCTAGATGACAAATGCTGGATAATAATTAATGCTAAACTTATTTTAAGTGAATAAACCCTAGTTTGAAAGGATTCACTTAAAGTCTAATAAAGAAAACAGGTAAACTACTAGGCACATATTAGCTATTACTGATGAGATGAGGAAAAAATGAAACTATATTTACATTAGCAAACATTTAAGAAAATTCAGAATTATTATAGTAAGGAAATTATTGATCAATCACATGGCCTGTAGAAGTGCTGCTCACATAATTAATTCAATATGTAAATCAATCACCCATTGCTTGAATCATTGTACATGCATTTGGTGGCTGAGTACCCCTCAAATTATCAGAGAATCACATATTTTGGTAAAACAAAAGGAAAAACTATGTAGCACTTTAAAGACTAACAAGATGGTTTAATAGGTGATGAGCTTTCCTGGGCCAGAACCACTTCCTCAGATCATATTCTGGAAGAGAACTGGCATGACCATGTATACCAAAGGAATACAATGAAAAAAGTGAACACATTATTAAACTGACAAATCAGATTTAGTACAGAAGGTGCGGTGAGGGGGAGGGAGAGACACAAAAGCTATTTGAGTAAATGAATGGCTAATCGGGGTGCTAAGTGGGAAGCTATCTTTTAATGGTTAAGGTAATTAGCATCTTTGTTAAGGCCCATTCGTAAAGTGTCAAATTTAAGCATGAAAGAAAGTTCTGAAGTTTCCCTCTGTAATCTGGTGTTAAAGTCTCTTTGAAGTAAGATGCATGTAGTAAAATCGTTAAGACTATGTCCAGGTAGGCTGAAATGAAAAGCAACTGGTTTATCCTTGTGAAGATGTCTGATTTGTGGGCATTAATTCTTTGGCGAAATGTCTGAGGGTACGTCTAGACTACAGGTTTTGTCAACAGAAGCTTTGTCGACAGATACTGTCGACAAAGCTTCTGTCGACAAAGAGCGTCTACACTACATTCAGTTCTGTCGACAAAGCAAGCTGCTTTGTCGACATGGCAGTGTAGACGCAAGGACAGTTAACATGCAATAACGCTTTCTGTCGACAGAAGGTGTTATGCTTCGTGAAATGAGGTTTACCAGCGTCGACAAAACTGCTGAGTTCTGTCGCCATTATGTCGACAGAACTCAGTGGTAGTGTGGACGCAGGTATAGTTTTGTCGACAAAAGTCCACTTTTGGCGACAAAATCCTGTAGTCTAGACACACCCTGAGAAGTCTGTCCAATATACATAGCAGAAAGACACTGTTGGCACATGATGGCATAAATTATATTACTGGATGAACAGGAATATGTGTTCTTGATCATATAACTGACATGGTTAGGTCCAGTGATGGTGTCACCAGAGTAAATGTGGACAAAGTTGGCAACAGTGTTTGTTGAAAGGGAAAGTTCCAGGGTTGGTATTAGTGTGGTATGTCCTGCGGTTGTTGGTAAGAATCTTCCTGAGGTTAGGTGGTTGTCTATAGGAGACTATGGGTCTGTCCCCCAGAGCCTAAAACCAAGCACATTAAAAAATGTCTGTTTCCATAGATGAAGGACATCATCTTAACTGAAGAGAGATAAAACCTGGTTCTCTCTTTTTCAGTTGAGTATCACGTAAAGATGCTAGGAATATTTCATGACACAACCTGTGCTTCAGATTTGTGTCCTTCCTCTTTGACTAAACCTCAAAGAGTCGAACATGGGTGAACTTAACAGATATTATCAACTCTTCCTTCAGGGAAGCTGTCGTCTATTAAGTGATTATATGACCTAAAGCAGAGTTGAGGAACCCAATCCCAGAGGGCCATATGCAGCTCCCAGCTTACTGGATCTGGCTCCCCAGGTTCAGGCTCTCCCCCAACATTGGAGAGCCCACGCTGGCATTCCAGCTTCAAAGCCATTCCACCATGGAGCTGAAGAACACAAAATTTACTAGCCTGCCCCGCCCCTAAGCTCTGGTGTGTGAAAGGAATGTGGAGGAGCAGTTTTTCCTTCTCAGTCAGGAACCACGTCAGTGAAGGTTTGGATTTTCTTTTCTGCTTCTCACTTGTGTGCAGCTCCCAACTAATTTTTCTGAGAGTGAGTGGCCCCAACCCAAAAATGATTCCCAACCCCTGACTTAAAAGTAATGACCTAAAGTAGATGATTTAGTTAAGTGGTTCTCAAGCTTTTTGGCCCATGGCGCACACAGCTCCACACAGACCTTTCCATGGACCACCAGCCAACCACCAATGATGACAAAATGGGTGCATAAGGTGATGAGAATGAAGGGTCTGGCCAGGACACTGGGTGCAGGTCTAGAGGTTGGATGCAGGAGCAGGCTCAGAGAGGGAGTATGGGATGGAGGTGCAGGTGGGGTTGCAAGGTCTGGGCAGGAGGGAGGATGCAGGAGCAGATTGAGGGAGGGTCTCAGTGGGAAGGAATGCCTGAGGAGGATGGGGTGGGGGGCCCACTTATCAGGCTCCATGCCTCCCGCCGCTCCCAGCACTGCCACCACCTACTCCCATTAGCTGTGATTTTGGCCAATGGGAGCAGTGGGGAAAGCCTACAGGTTAAGTGGTTTCCTGCACTGACATTTCCCCAGCTGGGGCAGGGGAGCCATTTCATGCCCCTTGTGAGCAAGATCCAGCCTTCAAGCCCCCTTCCACCCCCAGAAGCCAGTGCTGGCACTCCAACTTTGCAGGGGAAGAGAGCTGGAGTGCCAGCACAGGCTCCCTGCTGTTGAGGGGGGAGGGGAGCCCCAAGCCTGCAGCTCATTTTGAGAGCCATTGATTTAGCCAACTAACACTAAATATATGACCTTCCATTCCTTGCTAAACATATTTAAAAGATGGCATCAAGACACCTGCCAGGATGTGGATGCCTCGGAATGCTTTAGTCCATGTTAATCTGGTCTAGGCACAGACATGGGTATAGCACAGACACTAAAACAGTAGTATTAGCAGATCTCCTATGAAAGAGGAAGAGCCGGTAGCCATGCCAACATGTAGATCTAACAGATGACTTCAGTATTGTACACGAAACACTGTCTGATCTGCAAAACCGAGCAGGAGCAAACAAAGTTATCCTTTGGTAGCGCTCTCTCTCTCTCGAAACTGTTTTGAGCAAATGCTTTTCAGCTTCAGGAGCTCTCATGTGGAATTCTACAGGATTCCATTTTACTGAGGGGTAAGTGGGGATGACAAATATGCACAGGCCTGTTGGGAGCATTAGCAAGAGGCATGGATCATAGCGTTCTCAATATGCTGATGACACCTAGCTCTATTTTGTTATTTCATCCAATCTAGACATTGCTATTGGATGCCTTCCCAGCTGTTTAATAGAGACTGAGGCTATCATCTGTCTGAAGCTCAATCTGGAGAAGAATGACATAAAGCTGGTAGAGTTGTGAAAAGCAGCCACAAAATGTAAGGAGGATTACACCTGCTCCCACAGCTGAGGGCATGTGCAAACTTCAACACATGGGAAGCCATCAGAAGGCATTGCTGGGTCCATAGTCACTGCTAGACAATCATATAGCAACAGTATAAGGCTTGATTCCATTTTTGTTTAATCTGGAGATAGATGCAGACTAGGCTATTGTCGTTCACAACTTTCTCATGTGAAGATTTAACTACCACAATCAAGTCTGTATCAAGGCTACACCCTAAACCAAACCAGAAACTGAAGCTTGTGAGGAATGTGCCAATCCACTTGGTAAGTTCCATATCCCACAAAAGAGCAGGATATCAGTGCTCTGAGATATGCATTGGTAACCTATTCATTTTCCAGGTGCAGTTGAAGTGGTTAGTTTTCATCTTCAAGTCCTTAATGGCATAGGATGTAACTATTTCAATGGGTCTCATTGTCCCCATGAGAGATTACTGTGGTTGCAGTCAGTGGTGCCTCATATGGGAAGTATTCAAACATGAAAGACCCTCAACTTTGGAATTCACTTCCCCCACTTGGTCTGAAAGAGCCAGAAATTGTTGACCTTCAGTATATGCTGCAAAGCTCATCTTTGTACCCATTTTTCTTAGAAGAGGGAGGAGAGGAAGGATCTGGTAAAAGCTATATAGAAGCCAGATTTTAATATGCATATATTTAACATACTCATAAACATATATATATATATATATTCAGGGAGGAAAAGATTTAACACAACAGCTAACCTGAAATTTAGCTACACAACTGGAACTGCAAAAGTTGTACAGTATTCCATCAGGCATTGTGGCTTGATATTGAGGTAAAGAGTTTCGTTTACAAAAGTGGCAAATAATTTCCATACCTAAAAGAAAAATGTAGTTTACAAAGAAAATAAATACAAGTAGTAGTGTAGAAATTTACTGGGTTATAATTTACCACTTCTCAATTTTATTAATATAAAACCTAAACTTCATCATCAAATTTTCTTATTAAAAAACCTATTAGGCTCAAAAAAATCTCTCACACGCGAGAGAGAAAAATATACATTTTAGTTTTTCCTGATCTTCTTTGTTAAACCTTGATGTTAACAAAATATTTTCACGTTCCTATAAAAAATGTAAAACTGTCTCCTTTTCCCACTCAGACATCTTGATAGTTTATATGCCCCTTCCTCAGAGTAAATGTTTTGACCAAATGACATATCTTATGAAGTTACCATTGCAATGTCACATGCACATGGAATGAATTTATTCAATACTGCTTGGTATCAAATATAAAAAAGTACCACCTACATGCATGAAGACTGCATATATCTGACAATGTAGCATCACTAGTGTACACTATTCTTTAAGTCTCAGTGCTTTCCCCTTCAGTAACCTACAAGCCTCAATATACTGGAAACTTTTTTTTTTTTTTTTTTAAGCAGAGAATAATCTGGAAATCAATAAGCTAAAATGAAGAGAAGGTTGCAGTATTCTAAATGGGATATGACCACAACTGGGACCAAGACATTACAAGTCTAGAATATACAAAGAGAGCATATTTTTCTCTTAAAATCTGTAAAACGCTCAGATACAATAGTGATAAGTGTAATTTAAAAAACTACATAAATTTATGTTCTGAAATGAGAAAACAATTGTACAAAGTGAAATTATTTTTGCTAATTTTATGGCTTTCTTCATAAACCGAAATTAACAAATAGAACATGGAAGTCCATTTCTTTTAATTCAAGTGTACTCTTATCAGTGATGAAAAGTCACCATCCTTTACACTTACTTTGTGATTTTGCATATTTTGATTTGTGTGTGTTCATGCATGCAGTTGAGCAGTATGGCTCCATATATCCATTAGGTCCTATGCACTGAGTCATTTCAAAAAACTTGCACTGAGCTCTGCAACCAGTACAAGTTGTTAATTTGCCATATTTCTAAAACATAAAACAAAGCAAAACAATGCATTAGTTATGGCTTTAAATTATATTACAACACGTACACAGGAAGACACATTTCTTCTATTCTAACCTCATTAGAATTTTCCTGTATTGTATAAAAGATCTAGAACATTTATTTTGGCGGGGAAAGAGGGGCGGACTAAATATAAGTACTTTTTTTAAATTTCAAGAGTATTGAAAACAATTTTGTGAACTGTGTTAGAACATAGGTAAGTCTGCGTGGATACAATAGTTTGGAAATAACCAAATATAAGCCTTCTTTCTAGAGGATAAATGGTGTAATTAAAGAAGGGTATCTCTTTTTTTTTTTTTTTTTTTTTTTTAAGAGGGAAGTGGGGCTAAGAATTAAAGATTAAACTAAGGAATACTTAAGGCCCAAAAAGGACCTCAACCACGCATGGAGAAGGCGTACAAGTAATTAGGCAGACGCACAGAACTTACTATGATAATTAGTATGTAGAATTTCAAGCTAAATGCTAAAAAAAGAAATATTAAAAATGTTTTCATGTAGCTGAACTAAAATACATGGAAATGCTCAGTTGTTTATAGATATACAAGCAGTAAGCCTGGTTTCATCTTAAACAGCTACCAAGGTTATTTGAGATACAAAAATTAACAAGCTCTTATGTATCTTACAGAAATACTCTAACTTGACCTACCACCCGTGATTCCTATAAGACTATCAGCAACAAAATAACTCCTGTGGCACTTTAGGCTATCTCTAGACAGCAAGTCTTTTTCGAAAGATACTTATAAGTAAATATTTATAATATTTATATACTTTCGAAAAAGCCACTTTCAAAAAAGAGCATCTAGACTACAACCAGTATTTTCAAAAAAGCAAGCCGCTTTTTCAAAAGAAAGCACCTAGGTAGTCTGGATGCTCTCTTTCAAAAAAGCAGTTTGCATTACATAGCGCCTTTTTTCGAAAGAGCACTTTCGAAAAAAGGTGTTCTTCCTAGTCAAATGAGGTTTTCCACGGTCGAAAAAACTGTTATTTTGATTTACTTTTGAAAGAATGCAGCAGCCGTCTAGATGCAGGGCAAGTTTTGTGGGTTTTTTTCCCCAAAAAAGGGCACTTAAAATAAAACACCCTATAGTATAGACACACCCTTATAGACTAGCAGATTTATTAGAGCATAAGCTTTCATGGGAAGAGACCCACTTCGTCAGATGCTCTGACGAAGTGGGTCTTTGCCCACAAAAGCTTATGCTCCAATAAATCTGTTAGTCTATAAGGTGTGACAGGATTTCTCATTGTTTATGCAGATTCAGACTAACATGGCTACCCCTCTGATACTTAGCAACAAAATAATTACAGATGAAATACATATTTTCAGTGGGATCACAAGCTTCACTGAGGTTGTTTGATGTTATGATACACCAAGGGTACAATGAATACTGTCGAAACCAGAAGAGCTAACATTAATATTATTAAAACTGAAATTGCTGGCTCTGAAACCCCGAAAAGTGGATTTCTCTTATGTTTAGAATATATTGGGGCCCCTGTCCTGGTGCAACTGAGCCATGTCTGAGGGAGTTTCTATCAACTGATTACCCAATGACAAGTTCAGACTTTGGGTGAACTCAAGGTAATTACAACACCATGATGGTGACCTGCTAATTTTAGACACCTCTTATCCCCCTAACTTTAAAGTTAAGAGCACTCTCAAAGAATGCAGATAAGTCAAACAAGGCCAAGGTAATTACTTAGTGAGCACAAGTAGTACAGATGCGAACACAAAAGGCAATACACAAAATGGATAGTGCTGATGTCTTATATGAATTCCATACACATTTCACAGCAATGTAGGATCTATCAATGAGATAGACACAAAACCAGTAGCTTCTCTCAGATAGAAAGCTTCTAGGTGATCATCTTGAATTTTTTCTTTTAAGGGTTACAGATTAATGTGTCACCAAGTTGGATGAAGCCCTTCTGACATTTTAGTTATCTGGAAACACTTGGGGAAAAAAATCCATTCCCTAATTTTTTCCGGTACTACATGCTAGATGATAGTCTGTCAAGAAAGGTGTCTGGGTTTTTTTTAAGCAATAGTTTCTCAAAAATAATTCAACACTCTGGTCCCGGAGAGAGAAGTCAAAGGAGCCTTCCGCTTTTGCTTCAATCAGTTAAGAGGAAGATGTAAGGACATAGTAAACCCATCTGCAATGGAAACATGGTTTGGGTACTTTTGGCTCTCAGTCTTTAAAGAGTTATCAGTTATTCAGTGAAATCCAAAAGTCTAGGAAGCCACTTGAGAAAGGTCAGCTCTTCCAGAGCAGAGTCTACAATATTATTTTGCTTCCATAAAATGTTGATACACATGTACACACACCACCGCCAAAATTTGGTGAGTTAATTTGCAACGGCTAACAAAGCCTCATGGTACTCCAACAGTTCAATTTCATGATCTGAGCATACTTCTTGAAGACAATTTGTGCTGTCCATATAGTCTGCCTCAAGAGTGGCTGGGTCTGTGCGTACATGGATAATTCAAGTCTGGCTTCTATTTAGAGAATCAATCTTTTGAAGGATTCCAGGCCATTTTCATACCCAGGAAATTTTCAAGAGTGCTTCCAAGTTCACACACTGAAAGTGACATTTCTGATCAGATACATGACATCCACATGATCACTCAACTCAACACAACACACAAAATACAAAACTCACATTCACTTTGAGGAACCTCTCTCAGCAGCACTTCTCGAAACAATATAAAGCAAAAGTTAATGAACTCAGCTACATTGAGCAAAGTCAAGTCAGAATCTATGCAAAATTGGAATCCAGGAAGAAAGTTCCAACAGGGCACAGATGGGGTAGTCTCGGAATGGACATGAGCAACATCTCAAAGAACAACTTACAGGAAGGTAGGTTACCATTTTTAATTATTCTAAGTGCTTGTTCATGTCAATTCCAAATAGGTGACTCCCAAGCATTTTGAAGAGAAGGGGAAGCAGGCAGCAAAATACAGCACCTCTTTGCCAAATGCAGCATCATCTCTGGCCTGCTATGTAATGATTTAGTATGGTAAAAGATGTAGACTTATGACCACATAGCTGGTCTACAGAGGTCTTAAATGGGGATCTACACTAGGAATGTCACTGAGGATGCCTGCCCTATTGTGTAGTGTGCTGTCAGTGTAGTGGTGGGTACCTACATTAGACCATAGCATACTCTGATCAGGCCATGATCCAGGAGACAATTATTTTGGATGACACTGGAAACTCTTTCATCTACTTCATCTGCAATGAAAGGAGGTGTGCTGATTTTTGAAAGTGTCATTCTTTAAATATAAAATGCTAATGCTTGCCAAACGTACAAGGAGTGAACTATTTGCTCCCGATTGCTAACGTGTAGTTTAGAAAAGAAAACTGGGAGAAATAGGTGCTGATTTGCATGGAATCATGAAACTTTGAGGAAAAGTCAGGCAGGGCCACAATTGCACCTGGCCCCCTCCGAAGACATTATGGAGGCCCCGAAGTCAGCTCAAACAAATAACAGGACTATGTAGCACTTTAAAGACTAACAAGATGGTTTATTAGGTGATGAGCTTTCGTGGGCTCAACCTCAGATCAAATTGTGGAAGAAAATTGGCATGACCATATATACCAAAGGATACAATCAAAAAAATGAACACATATGAAAAGGACAAATCAAATTTCAGAACAGAAGGGGGATGACGGGGAGAGGTAAATGTCTGTGAGCTAATGATATTAGAGGTGATAATTGGGAAAGCTATCTTTGTAATGGGTAAGGTAATTAGTGTCTTTGTTAAGACCTAGGTGTAAAGTGTCAAATTTAAGCATGAATGACAGTTCAGAGGATTCTCTTTCAAGTCTAGTGTTAAAATGTCTTTGAAGCAGGATGCAGGTAATAAAGCCATTAAGACAATGCCCTTTCTGGTTGAAATGGCAAGAAACTGTTTTTTCTTGGTGATCCTGTCTAATATTTGTTTTGTGAGCATTGATTCTTTGGCGAAGTGTCTGAGACATTTGTCCAATGTACATAGCAGAAGGACACTTTCGGCACATGATAGCATAAATTATATTTCTGGATGAGCACGAATATGTGTTCTTGATCTTATAATTCAATTGGTTAGGTCCAATAATGGTATCAGCAGAGTGAATATATGGACAAAGCTGGCAATGGGGTTTGTTGCAAGGGAAAGTACCACATTTTACAAACCTCTCTCCTCTGATCCCACCTCAGAATACCAAAAGAAACTACACTGTCTCCTTAAAGGCCTCCCTACAGCTACTCGGGAACAAATCCACACAGAAACACCTTCTGAAACCCGACCAGGATTGTTCTGCTTCCCAAAATCCATAAACCTGGACACCCCGGACGTCCCATCATCTCAGGTATTGGCACGCTCACTACTGGTTTATCCAGCTATGTAGACTCTCTTCTCAAACACTATACAACCAACACTCCAGCTATCTCTGAAATACTACTGACTTCCTAAGGAAACTACAAAACATCGATAACCTCCCCGATAACACCATCCTTGCTACCATGGATGTAGAAGCTCTATACACCAACATCCCACATGAAGACGGACTACAAGCAATTAGAAACACTATCCCAGAGGACACCACTGCCAATCTGACAGCAGACCTATGTGTTCTTACCCACAATTATTTCCAGTTTGAGAACAACTTATACCTCCAGATCAGCGGCACAGCCATGGGTACACGCATGGCCTCACAGTACGCTAACATCTTTATGGCTGACTTAGAACAACGTTTCCTCAACTCCCGTCCCCTCTTATCCCTTCTCTACTTATGCTACATCGATGACATCTTTATGATCTGGATGCATGGCCAAGAAACACTGGAGACATTCCACAGAGATTTTAACAACCTACACCCCATCATCAGTCTCAGCCTGGCCCATTCTACACGAGAGATCCATTTCCTGGACACCACAGTACAAATCACCAATGGAAAATTAGACGCCACTCTCTACAGAA